AGTAATCGACTGTCGAATACTTGTCTTAGTAGCCTCTTTACCTGCCTGTTAAGTTTCTGCCGCGCAGATGTTTTGGCGTTTACTGCTTGTCGTCTTTTCCTAATCAGATCCAGAGTCTCACTGGTGATTTGCGTCCAATGCTCTACGATCGAAAGTGATTATCCCACCTCGCGGGCGTCGTTTACGTCCTGCACGGTTTCCAACATGGCGAACCGGTTCCTAAGTTCTGGCTGGAAGCTTTCACATCCAGCCTCAACCTGGGGCAGAGTAGGCGTAAGAGTCGAGATCAGGCTCGCCCGTTCTGTTCTAATTGATAAAATCAGGGTTCCTCTTATGAGTCGATGATCACTTACGGTGTTAAACCTGTTGATTACAGAGACATCCCTGAATATTTGTCAATTGTTTGTGATGATGAAGTAGATCTCGTTCTTTATCACACTATCGGGGCTTCGTCAGGTCCACTTCCTTTGGGACTTCTTCTGAAAGAAAGTATTCACTAAACAATACACATTTATTTTAATTAAACGAAACTTTCTCCTGTAATTTAAGGTTCTTTTGTGTATTTTTCAATAAAATATATAGGTATCTGCCCGAGAAAGACGCAGTGTTATTTACTAACAATACTACATGGTTTATTCGCTTGCTACATTACGATTGGGTATATTTGGAAAAGTGCATCCCACACACGGCCGCCTGAGGCCCATGTGCTAGTTTATTTCACATCTAATCGATCGTCACGGTGGCTGCGATTGGCCCGCACTGAAATCTTAACCAATCGCAACGCCCAACACGCTCGCTGTCGAGAGTGAGTTGATGAGAAATAAACTCGCACTCGGCCCTCTGATCCTAAACTAGGCAGATCCTGTACTATAGTCAGCAGTACTATTAACTACTACTACACTAGGTTACCAAACTAGCCGGTACCCACGACTTCCTTCACGTGGAATTAGAAAATCGCTGCCTTAGTAATGTAGTACGGTACGCGACTGCAGTCTTTGAGACCGCGGGTTCGACTTCCAGACCGGGCAAAATTTAATAGGGTTTTTCTAAGACGAAGTATAGCCTAAGTTACTCCTTGTATAGACAGCTACCTGGTAATATATAAAAAAATGGTCCAGCTTTGAGGATTACTTGGAAGAAACACAGACACACAAAAATAGTTAAACTGGTTTTTAGGCATAGGTATCGATAAACCTGTGAGGATGAAAAAACCTATTATTTTGACATTACAAACAGACACTCCAGTTTTATTTATTTGTTTAGATATTAAATGCAAATTGGAGATAAGTTATTTACAAAGCAAAAAGGTTACGGCGAGTACCTCATTTGAGTCTCTCCTAAAGGGGGAGGGGAGGGGGGGGCAAGTTACCTCACTTCACTCAAAGTTCCTATTATCATCCCTATTTGTCGGCATTTGTAGTTTTGCCAGTTTTTCTATTTTAAGGGGGCTTAGTCTGTCATGTAGGGGCTAGTGGCTAAGTGGTTACAAGGTAGGTTAACTCATTGCAAAGTTTAGCAATCATTGCCAGCTCAGCCTATGGATGGGTGACCATTTCTTAATACATTGAGTTCCCTCCGTGCCTCGGAAAGCACGTTAAGCCATCGGTTCCCATACGAACGTCTATGGCAATCGTTACGGTTACTTTGAAGCCTTAAATAGTAGGTCAACAGTCTTGTGTTCACAGTTGTCAGTTGTGGTCTGATGGTAGTCGCTCCACGTAAAAAAATCGAAGTTCAGCCGTGACTTAAAGACGACGACAACCTAGTTTGGGAAAGAAGTCCGTCATGTAGGGTTAATTTAACATAAATACACAAGATACCGGGTATTCCCTTCCGGGGTAAACAGAGCCAATAGCACTTTATTTGCTCCGTTCCCATTAACCACCTCCCGCCTCTTAATTATTCATCAGATCTGACCTATACCTCGTACACTCGCCCGTTTAGCATCCTGACTGTTAACTTGGCCCTTCTGCAGTATATTGCTGCCCTGGTCAGTCAGGTACATCGTCCGCCTGATTGATAGAATTTAAATTAAATAAAAAAAAAAACAATTTTAAATCTTACACCTTCATTTATTTACAAATTACAAACAATTTTAAAATTAAAAGTATAGTAAGTGATGTTCTAAGTTATTGAATTTGAGCAACAATCGTTTAAAAACTTGGCCGTAATGTCAAAGTCTTGCTTGTGTATATAATATAGGATACATTTGGCCAAGTCTAACAGTTTATGTAGGCCTAGTCACATTATAAGAATACTTACTTGACCTCTATGGTCTTACGTAGATAGGTTAAACGCTTGGCCCGTTTCTATAAAACTTGGCCTCATTTTTCGGTTAAGTTTTATTAGCATAATAATCATGTATTTCGTTCTGTTAAATCACTTAGATGTGTTTAATTTTTTCCTTTTTTTTTTGTAAAATCTGTTGCACCTGAAGTCAAAAAGGCTAAAACTCTTAATTATATAATATAGTGACCATTTAAGCACCTATTAAATTTACTTGGCATAAATTGGAAGACTCAATTTTACAATAATAAAAAAAAATCCTACACTTGACATAATAATTTTGTCATGTTCATTAGAGTACAAAGTTCGTGAATGAGCAGTGGTGTTCGAGACTTGGCACTTTTTTTTGCGTAAATATTATTTGTGATTTTCTTTGTTCCTGCAAATAATATACGTGTAGGCCAATAATAGTATATGTCAATCATCAAACGAAACTAGGATTAAATGTTGCCAAGTTCATAAATCACATATCTTTACATCGGCTAGTATAAAAATCTTAAAAATACACAGTAACCGCTCCTTTATAAAACTATGAAACTTTGATAATTGGTACAAAAAATATATTAAGCTAAGAATCTATGGACGGACCCAGTAATAGACTAGCAACTATCGGTACATAAGAGATTTTTAATTAAAATTATATTTCTTCTAATCTCTACAACATAATCGATGTTACTAAACTGTTTAGTCGATTGTTACAACACTATTTTGTGCTTTCCTTTTAGAAAATAGCGAGAAAAACGACTAAATAATTTAGCACATAAGTATCGATTTTATTGCAGCCACAATAATACATCTGCTTTCCTATTTTTATAACCGATACAAAAGATTTTAATGGCAACCCGAAGCCCAGAGAATTAAAAATAAAATTAACATTGTCTATGCGCTAGTTATAATTTCAGCTACAAATGGTGTATGCTTTAGGTATACCCTATTCGAAAACCTTTTGTAGACAAAATTACATCTCAAATATACATGTACAAGAATAAAATATTTACAGATAAAAATACAGTCGTGTGATATGTCAACGAGTTATAAAAAAGTTCTCATTACAATTGTCAAATCATTTAAATCAAACAATATTTGTTCAGTATTTCAATATAAAAAATGGAATATACTATCACATTTAATAAACACCATTAGTTATAACAACTTACAGCATTTAACACTTAAAATTATTAAGACGGGGCCAGGAGGATCCAAAATTTAAAGGGGCCCGTTACAAAGGAGCCCCGGTCTCACGAAACATACAATTAATGTAGTTCCAAACATTCTTTTCATATATTAAAGATAGTAACTAAATACAGCCAAGAGAAGTTCCAAGAGTCTTGCCTGGGGCCCCATTTTAATTTTTAATGGAGTTTTATTCTAGGTCTATTTCAAATATTTTCGTGTTTTAAGTATATAATACTGTAAGTTTAAAGTAGGTGGTCATTTATTACAACAAATGCTAACCATTAAAAATGTCAAATTAAAATGTTAATCTTCGAAATGCTATGTTTATTTGCGAATTTGACTCAAATTACACCTTCTTGGGTGTGAAATGTCAGAAATGGCGCCAAAATCACAAATAACCATAGACAATGAATTTTAAAACAGAAAATCTGTTCAAATCTTTATCTATTCAATGTATTTATTTCGCCATCGATAAAACTGTATTTAGATTGTGTCAACTTTTGTGATGCAAAAGTAAAAATATTTTTTAAGGTCAATATATTAAAGTAAATATTTATTTCGGAACATCTCCCTAAATTTGTGTATATCCATCTTTATTTGCATCAACAAAATCTAACTTATATTACGCAATGGTTTCAGCGAAAAATACTGCCTTAAGACCCGTCGCCATCTTGAATATAGATTTTTTGGTTTGGCAACACCACTGTACCGTAGATTAAAAATACTTTGTGACTACAGATAATAAAATTAAAATAAACTAAGTGAGAAGATATTTCAGTTATATTGCGGCAAAGATATTTTGACATGTGGGTGGTTACTTTTTTTAATGATATTGGAGGCAAACGAGCAGATGGGCCTGATGGTAAGTGACTACCGCTGGATACTTGCATCTCCAGTCACGAGTACGTCGGCAATATTTGTTTTCAAAAGACCGTACTCCCTGTACGGTCTCTTGAAAATAAGTTAGCATAGAAAGATTTTTGATTTTTTTTTAAGTCAATTAAAACTAATTTAACATTTTGCACAGATTAAATATATCAATTCGAAAACTCTGTAACTTAATGGTTGCTGTGTCACACTGTTTACGTCATTGAATAATTTTTGGATTTGTATTTTAAGATTTTTCTTCTATCTTATACCATTACAATACAAATACAAAATTATATGGTCTTAAGACAGTTTTTTCTACACAACCAATTTCTGAAAAGCTTTCGCAACACAGGGTCAAAACTATTTTTTTATGACATTTTCAATATCTACAAAATTGACAACTATACACAATTGAATTCAAAAACAAATTAAATTGAGTTATTTTAATCTCAAATTAAAAAGAAAAATACACTACTGTTTAAAACATACTTATTAAAAATCAACATCCAACATTAGGTCATAGCAACGCAAGTAAAGGGTCATTTTGACCCCGCCTCACGGTGCATGTCATTATGACCCTGCAAAACAAACTGTCATTTTGACCCCGTATCTAATTAAACAGCTGGACAGAAATAGCTACAGATATTACATTTACGTCCACGGCTACATTATCTCCTGCTGTTAAGCTCGTAGCCGTTCTCCTTGCTCGGGGTTTTGGCGGGGGGAGGCTTCGCTACCACGTGACCCTCAAGCCTCAGGGTACTTTGGCGATGGGATGACCTGGGGATAGATACACATATTTTATTAGGCAATTGATTTTAACAAGGATTCAAACATGCTTACAGATGTTCTAGAGACCCAATAGATTTAAATGACAATATGATTTTGACGGGCCTGTTGGTCTAGTGGTTAGAGACTCTGACAGCTGAGCTGGAGGTCGTAGGTTCGATTTCCACCCAGGACAAACAATTGTGTGATCAGCACGATCATTTGTTCAGAGTATTAATGTAATTTATCTATAGTATGTATTTATTTAGAAATATATAAGTATGTTTATCAGCGGTCTGGTTCCCATAGTACAGGCTCTGCCTAGTTTGGGATCAGACGGCCGTGTTAGATGTTCGAACTTATTATTAATATTTAGGTGAAAATATATTAAAGTGTCAGTACTAAAAACGACTCAATTTTATTTTTATTCATACCTGATAAGGCAGGTGACTGCCAGAAGAATGAGTAGTAGCCCCAAAGCAGACAGCCCCCAGCCGAGGGTGGTGCGAGCTATCGGAGGGACCTTAGTGGCTAGTCGGAGAAGAGAAGTCACCTGTTCTGGAAGTTGGTCGATACCCTGGAAGATAGATAAAATTGGATTTAAACTGACATTAGCAGGCCGAGGTGTTAGCTGTCCATCAGGGCATTCAAATTTGTGAACGAAGCCGTCTTGAAGACCTTGACACAAAACTCGTCCTAAGCCCTCCTATAACTACACTTACAATACGCGGGGTGAGCTTCACTGTGCCTCATGTGTCCGTGTATTTAAAACCAAAGTCGGTTTTGCGAGTCACGTACGGGCGCATGAGCGTAAACGGAGCTGTTGAAAGGTGACAGGGTGTCGCCGTCGACGGATACGTTTAGGAGGACATCATCATCATCATCATTATAATCACAGTTTCAAATCAAATATTTGTATGACTTCCACATACAACGATGAAACATACTTTAATATCATCCAACGGAGGCATATCGCAAACAATTAGCCTGCAACAGTCCACTACTGGACATAGACCTCTCTTTAGAAAGAAGCTTTTGGCTTATACCACGCTGGCCAAACGAGTTGGTATAGTTGTTTCAAGTTTTCTTTCTCTTTGTAGTGCTGTGTCGTCTGCTCCCTTAGTCGGCTCTTACGAAACCCTTGAGATGAATAGGGGTGGTGACACTCCTTATTCTTAATCCGTCACCTCTCCGTCTAGTCTCTCACCCAAGACGCTCGGGTTCGCTTTCGGCATTGGGACCGTTTAGTATTTGTATACACAAGCCAGCCGCTACCCGACAGGAAACATCACCAAGCCTGGTCGGAGATCCTCCCTTAGTGTTGTAGAGACGCGACACCCCTACTTCAATATTTGTTTAAGTATGTCTATTTACAACAAAATATATCCGTATGTACATCGGCGTTTAAAGGCCCTCAGTTTCAGCTATAGTTCTGAATGCGGTTTCCGTTCTACGAATTCTACTTACCTCTTCAAACCACAGAATGGGAAATACAATGTCGGGGAAGTTGGCCACCTGCTTGATGTCCACGACCTGAGAGACGGCCAAGTTGATCTGGATACGAGCGCGAGCACGCATGGCAATACCCATCTCCTGAAAATCGAAGTCACAAAGTCAAATAATATGTTAAGAATTATGTGAAAACTGCTACAAAAAAATTTACACGTGTCAAGTGTAGGTATTGCCAACCTCGACGGTGGTAGTCACTTACCATCAAGTAATCCGCCTGCTCGTTTGCTCCCTCTCCCCTCCCTCCTATTCCATAAAAAAGGACAGCAGTTATAACTGTGCTAAGTAATAGCTGTATCAAAATTGACAAATTATCATCTACCCTACAGCAAAAAGTAAAGGCAGGAGAGACACGTACCGGCTGCACGTCTATGTACAGTCTGTGCTTCTCAGGAACAGGTTCTGATATTCCCTCCACTCTTTCTCTGAGGCTTGGGTCGGCCAGGTAGAAGTGAGGGAAGGACAGCAGTATTGGGGAATCTGCAAACAATTAACTAATATTATAAATTTGTTTGTTTCGTATTAATACTATTTTGATAAGCTTGCTTTTGTCAGTTATCGTAGTAAAAAGTAGCCCATATTACTCTCTGCTAATGTAGCTTTCCATTGGTGAAAGAGTTTTAAAATCGGTTGAGTAGTTTAGGCGTGTAAGTGTAACAAACAGACAAACAAACTCACTTGCACATTTTTGATATAAGTATAGCCAAACGGTTAGATATTTAGGTAATAATTAAGCTCATACATTTTAGAGTACAAAAATAGATTTCTCATTTTTCAAATTGTTTGTTTGTTCTCAAAATGCTTATTCTAATGTTTTCTCATAACTAAACAACATATTTTTAATTTCTAAGTAAATCTCAATGTTTTTTTTGTTTTTACATTCCATCTCCCATCTAATAAATCTGGACATGCCACTAGAATGCCGGATGTTACATCTTATTCTTTCAAATTTGTCCCCTCTTACATGAAAGTTTAATTTGTCAATTTGAAAAGGATGTCTACTTATATTAAAAATCACCAATTTTCCCTAAAACTGTTAGCGGTTTACATTACGTTACGAGGTATACTACGTACTATACGACCAGACCTGAATTTAGTACATATAGTTCTGTAATAGTTTGTTTTCAGTTCAAAGTGTTTATAAAAAATGTTCGTTGGTTTGTGTACGTTTCAAAACCTCAAAAAGTTCTGCACCAATTGAGCTCAAGTTTTGACTCGATGTAGAAACCGCTTCAAAGATTGTTTTTATCTAAGGTTTTAGGGGTTTAAATAAAAATAAAAAACTGGTAACTTTAAGGGTTAAAACAACTTACCGTACTGACAAAGCGAAACGTTGAAGAGTCCGTTGGGAGCACATGGAGGTCCAGCGGGACAGAAGCACTTGTTATGCTCGTCATTGGCAAACACGTCCTCAGGTGGCGTGAAACGGTAACCGTCTATACCAACTGATGTTACTTCCTCGAGGAATCTGAAATTGACGGGTTTATTTCTTTAAAACTTAATGCACATGTTGGGCAGCAACGCACCTGTGACTTTTGAGTTGCAGGTGTCCATGGGCGGCGGTAGTTGCTTACCAGCCGGTGACCCGTCTGCTCGTTTGTCATTTGAGGAAAGAAAAAAAAGAAGTCAGTGCTCGCAGACTGCGGCGCTGACGAATTGGTAGCCATTACAGGTGGGAATGTAAAGCAGACACATGGTCATACTTGCGAATATACTTGCTTACTTGTTGGAGAGGGAGAATAAAGAATCGTCAATTTTCATTTCCAGAAATAACATAAAAATATTATCCTTAGAATTAAAACTTAAAAAAGGCCATTTCGTTTGATATGTAACACAATATTATTATTCATTTTCAAATATGGCAACACCCATATTCAAAATGCATTAATCTAATTTAAAAAAATAAATATCCGATATGTTGGTGGAGTTAGTGTGCTGAAGATGTACTGTAAAACATCTTCTCATGAACGTATACTCACTTCAGGGGCAGCAGTCTGCAAAGATCCTTGTCGAAAATAGCCAGGGTATCATTCTTCGTGATGTGAGGGGGGAAGATGGAGCCGTCGGAGCCGGCGATGCTGTTGCACTGGTCTGTGGTCCAATGCTGTAGCTTGTCCTTCATGTTGTAGTGGCTGATGATGCCGTATGACGTCATGTCAGTGGCGCCGGTGAACATGGTCACCACGTCGTTGGAAGTGCCGTTTTTCTGAAGTCGTATGAAAAATGGATGATGAGTGATGAGTGATAGGACGTATCTTATTTATGACAAGTACCTAGTCCTACAGATAAAGGTTAGAGATAGAGGATCGGTCCCATTTTCTCTTGACTCCCATTTTTACAAAAAAAAAATCGTTTCCACCCAAATTCAATTTTAAGTGTAATGTCTTCTCTCTTAATGTCTGGTTAGTTTTGGAAAGGTTCTCAGGGACCAAGTATATATAGGATTCAGGTCCTATATAGACTTGGCACCTGAGAACCTCTATGTAAACTTTATGCAAAAATGTTTCACGTGTGAGAGCCATGACATTGGCACAAAAGTTCGGACCTCTCGCTCGACCGGAGTACGAGTAATAATTACCAAGGCTTCAGTAAAAACAATTCTTGTAAAAACAGTTCTTGTTGCGCAATTTTTTCGTAGCTTTTCACCGAGTGAGTGAGGTCCCCGGTGCTCAGACCCTCCCCTCCCCTGGTGAATCCGGGGAGGACTTACAGGGCGACAACGCACTTGTGACTCATGATTTCAGCACAAGTGACCTGCGCCTGCTCGTTACACCATATGCCATAAAAAAATGGAATTTTACTTACCCCATAGAAGAGTCCAAACTCTTCATAAGGCAGCTTCTGTTCCTTAGGCACAACGTCCTTGGCGAGCTTCAGCAGGGGATCTTCGTATCCCCATAGCAGTTGTCCAACAGACACCTCCACGAATGGTTTGATCTTCAATATGTCCATGATGGAAGCCATGGCCAGGCGGAGGAACCGGGCGGCGTGTTTGGACTGTGATGTTGCGCTCTGGAGAGAATGAGACAGAATATAATTCATAATTCATTTGCGAATATGGGTATACATTTGCAGATCTTATAAGCTAATACAATCATTCAATCATTGTTCTTTCACCATATTCAACCATAAGGCACGCAAAAAAAAGCGATAGAGAGAGAGAGATATACGAGTATATACATTTTTTTATATTACTAAATACATACATATTACAGATGAACTACACCCAGACACAGAACAAGTGATCGTGCTCATCACACAATATTTGTCCTAGGTGGTAAAAGAACCCACGTCCTCTGGTTTAGAAGTTAGGGCCGCAAAATCGCTAATCACTAGATACCAACAGGCAAGTCAAGACCAACAGAACGAAACGTCACGTAAATGAAACACATTATCGGACATACTTTGAATATATATAGGGGAGAGTAACCAATATTGAACCGGAGCTTAAATGGGACCACTTCTGTATTTTTACCAAAATGGCATTAAGGTTGAAATTTGACCTCTAAGTAGCTAAATTAAACGTTGATAGCTCCGTCAGTAGCCAACTTTTTAATTAATATGTTAGATGCGTGTGCCAAGCTAAGAATAGCTCGGTCCTTGCTGTTTTATAATTCTTGTAACCATTACAAAACCTGCATGGTAACATGACTAGTAAAACTTTTTTTTCTTGTGGTGTAGTGTAACTTCACACTTTATACATCTCACACGGCCGTCTGATCCCAAACTAGACAGAGCCTGTGCTGTGGTAATCAGACTGGTGATTAACATACTTATATATTTCTAAATTTACAATTATTGCCATCGTCATATCAATATCCATACTAATATTGTGAAAGTGTGTCTGACTGTCTATCTGTCTAGTACCTCTTCACGTTTAAACTTATGAAACGATTTAGTTGAAATTTGGCATAGAGATAGTTTGATTCCTAAGAAAGGACAAAGGCATCTTTTTATCGCGATAAACAACATACACACGGGATATAAAACTAGTAAGGCATATAGCACGCGTGTCTACTGCTACCTACTGAGCTAAAATTAAGCGGACTCTGCAAATAATTATAACAAGCTCATTAAACTGGACTTATAATTGTACTTTTTTTTATAGAATTCGACACCAAAATAAACCAAAATATCAAGATCATTTCCGTGCGACATTTCTTAGGTTGATAATATTTCCTTATAATTTTATACTATACATAATATCAGGGCCAAATCCACGGTAGTTTCCTTATATACTTAGTGCACTTTAATATTAAGATTGACCTAGAACTATCGAGTTCACGAGTAAATTACTCGGGTTTTATTATTTAATAGCGTATAAAGTGCAAGGTTTTGGCAATTCTTCAAGGTGGTAGTGAAGGTTTTGAGGGCGGGAGAGCCTCCCAGAAAACCAATTCCGTTAAAAAATTCTTGAGAATGCCACCATCCCTATTAATCCCGTGGGTTACGACACCCACGGACCTGATAAAGGGAGCGAAATACGCAGGACAACAACACTGCAAAGAGAAGGTAACCTTGACACAATCCTTATATAAAAACTCGTCTGGACAGCGTGGTAAAGTAGCCCAAAACCTCCAGTGTGAGGACAGAGAGACATAATATGTCCAGCAGTGTACTATTAAAGGCTGTTGATGATGATGTTGATGAGAGCTAAATGCTCCGTGTGGATGTTGACGGGTCGCAAAGAAAAAGGGGGAACAGCATTTTCCAAACAAAACACAATTAACCAAGTTAAACCAAATATTTTTTAGCCACAGGAAGCTTCTAAAATCGGAAATTAATTTCCGAAATCTCCTTTTCAGTTTTTATTAAAACGATTGATTGATGTTGATTGGCCTGTTGGCCTGTTAGTCTAGTGGTTAGTGACACTGACTACTAAGTCGGAGGTCGTGGGTTCGATTCCTACCCAAGACAAATAGTTTCACGATCATGTGTTCTGTGTCTGCGTGTAATTTATCTGTAATATGTATGTATTTAGAAATATTAAATTATGTTTATCAGCCGTCTGATTACCTTAATACGAACGCTTAATTTGGGATCAGACAGCCGTGTGTGTGATGAGTTAGGTTATTATTATTAGATAGCATAGATCTCATAAATGAGAGACGACATCTCACCAAATTTCACTGGATTATACTCTCAGTCTGAATAAAAATAATCACGTTGTCCGTGTGGGGACGGATTAAGAATACGGATTGTCACCACCCCCAGTCATCCCGTGGGTGTCGTAAGAGCCGACTAAGGGAGCAAACTACGCAGGACAACAATACTGCAAAGAGAAGAAAAACTTGACACAAACCCTATAACAACCCGTCTGGCCAGCGTGGTATAGTAGGCCAAAACCTCCTTTCTAAGGAGAGGCCTATGTCCAGCAGTGGATTGTTAAAGGCTGTTGATGACGTTGTTAATGGATGCTCTCTGTCATTTATAGAAATGTTGCCACAATTATTGAAAAGTCCATTACGCTGTGATTCTTATCAATTTGTAAAGCAAACATGTCGTGTCATGTGGTCATGTATCGATGACGTGTTTACATAAACGCCTACTTAATATGTAACACACATTTCGTATATCGACAGCACAATATATACATACATACAAAAACACGGAGTGACGTACATGTGAGAGGATAAATGCTTGTTAAGAACCAGTGTCGGGAGCTTGTTAAAAATACAGGTTATATAAGATCCGTGTGGTGACGGATTAAGAATACGGAATGTCACCACCCCTATTCATCCCGTTTGTGTCGTAAGAGCCGACTAAAGGAGCAAACTACGCAGGACAACAGCACTGCAAAGAGTAGGAAAACTTGAAACAAACCCTATATCAACCCGTCTGGCCAGCGTGGTATAGTAGGCCAAAACCTCCTTTCTAAGGAGAGGCCTGCAGCGGATTGTTAAAGGCTGTTGATGACGTTGTTAATGGATGCTCTCTGCCATTCATGGAAATGTTGCCACAATTATTGAAAAGTCCATCACGGTGTGATTCTTATCAATTTGTAAAGCAAACATGTCGTGTCATGTGGTCATGTATCGATGACGTGTTTACATAAACGCCTACTTAATATGTAACACACATTTCGTATATCGACAGCACAATATATACATACATACAAAAACACGGAGTGACGTACATGTGAGAGGATAAATGCTTGTTAAGAACCAGTGTCGGGAGCTTGTTAAAAATACAGGTTATATAAGATCCGTGTGGTGACGGATTAAGAATACGGAATGTCACCACCCCTATTCATCCCGTTCATTCCAAGCAGGACAACAGCACTGCAAAGAGAAGGAAAACTTGAAACAAACCCTATATCAACTCGTCTGGCCAGCGTTGTATCGTAGGCCAAAACCTCCTTTCTAAGGAGAGGCCTATGGTGACACTCTGTTTTCTTAATCCGTCACTACACGGAGGCTAAGTATAATATGTATATATTAAGAAATATAAAATGTGGTTATCATAGTACAGGCTCTGCCTAGTTTGGGATCAGACGGCCGAGTGTGAGATGTGTACGGTTATACGAGTCCTGGAAACAGTAAAATTTGACGTCACAGCATAACCCATGGTTCGTCATTCCCTTTCAGTCTCTGCAGTTGGGTGAACGGGAATATCACTTAGTATAAACCTTCATACATTGTGTCATACTCTCTCGTGTCCATTCAAGGTCTTGGTAACAGGAAGATCGTTAAGGTGTTGACCTCAAACGTGCTTGCCTTTTAGGGACCAGTAAACACAATGGCAAAACCTCTTGAAAAACTAATAAAATCGAGTTTAGTATCCAAACGGTAAGTTATGTAAAAGCATTTGTATGAAATAGTAACTTGTGACGTTACACATTGCTATTGTCAAATCGTTTACGTTTATTATTTAATTTAACTAATAATATTTAGAACTTATTTATTAATTAGTATTAAAACTAGTGTGGCAACGGATTAACAATACAGAGTGTCACCACCACTATTCATCCCGTGGGTGTTGTAAAAGCCAACTATAAGAGCAAACTACGTAGGAAAACATGAGGAGGAAAACTTGACACAAACCCTATACCAACCCGTCTGGATATGTTGCCACAATTATTGAAAAGTCCATCACGGTGTGATTCTTATCAATTTGTAAAGCAAACATGTCGTGTCATGTGGTCATGTATCGATGACGTGTTTACATAAACGCCTACTTAATATGTAACACACATTTCGTATATCGACAGCACAATATATACATACATACAAAAACACGGAGTGACGTACATGTGAGAGGATAAATGCTTGTTAAGAACCAGTGTCGGGAGCTTGTTAAAAATACAGGTTATATAAGATCCGTGTGGTGACGGATTAAGAATACGGAATGTCACCACCCCTATTCATCCCGTTCATTCCAAGCAGGACAACAGCACTGCAAAGAGAAGGAAAACTTGAAACAAACCCTATATCAACTCGTCTGGCCAGCGTTGTATCGTAGGCCAAAACCTCCTTTCTAAGGAGAGGCCTATGGTGACACTCTGTTTTCTTAATCCGTCACTACACGGAGGCTAAGTATAATATGTATATATTAAGAAATATAAAATGTGGTTATCATAGTACAGGCTCTGCCTAGTTTGGGATCAGACAGCCGTGTGTGAGATGTGTAAGGAGGAGCGTCTGCACTGAACAACTGTAAAATTTGACGTCACAGTAAAACCAATGGTTCGAATTGTGACTCAACTTTGTTGAAACTGTTGATACTATAACAAGTCTGTTTATAGATTTCCAAACAGTAAATTATGATAATTTTACCGTTTACAATGAATGCGTGGGCAGTTCGCATATTGACCGATAGGTCGATGACTACGCTTTAAAAAATGGTTAATTAAAAATGTATTCTATAATTTACAAGAATATTTTGACACAAAATGATTTGCATGCTTACAATCGCTGATGGAAATTGTTAAATTTATTCTAATCTTCCATTTTTAGGGTTCCGTACCGTTGGGTACGTAAAACGGGACCCTATTACTAAGACTCCGCTGTCCA